AAATTCTGCAAAAAAAACAAAAAGTGTGTTACCACACCACTTCATCCGTGGTCAGGATTATAAAGTCTTGACTGCAAAGCTTTCAGCGGTCTGTATCGATTATAAAGCGCACTGGGCATTAGAGAGATTCCCTGTTTTCTTACCCCGAAAGGTCCATAAATTGCAAGGTTTTTATTACGGAAATTCTATTTATATTTTTATATTCTCGATGTTTAAGAAACTTATTTTTGGGAAACCTGACAATTATTCATGTAGAATCTGAGATTTTTTGTAATTGGGAATGGATGGAGTCGAATCTACTCAACGTGTGTAAGCACGGTTGCTTGTCTACTGTAAAACCAGATTAGATCTCGGTCTAACCGACTCTCTCACATTTTCTCCAGTTTCATACATGTTATCCAAAAGCTCCATACTGAGTGCTGCTCATCAGTTGCCAAACCTGACGTGGAACGAATATTTCATCCGACCAACGCTTTGAGGGTCAGCATTCTTTCCGGATGGTTGAAATGAAGGAGTCTCCATGGTAGGGGCATGGTAGATCTGAACATTTTGGGCTCTGTGTGTCAAAGATTGTTGATTGTACTTACTTCCTGGGTGATGAAATTGGCCTTCAAGGTTGTAATGGTGATTACAATTTCGAGCATTAGCAATGAGATAGATCCAGCTCACCGTTCGTTATGGCTTTTGACGAAATGTACATCTGATACAGAAGATGGATACATAGTTTGACGCAACCACACTGACGTGCTTTGCAAGACACCTACCGGGTTCAATCCACAACACGGTGGATTACTTCTCTGTGGATATATTCGTCGTAGACTTCTGCTGACGGTTATTCAATCTCTTGTTGGCAAACTTCAGTTTATCATGTATCACGATCTTCACAAAGATCCTCCTCTTATTTTCGTCTTCGATCTGACGAAAATCTTCCAACTCGATTTCCTGGTACAGAATCATTGCTTATTCAAAAGAGTTGATTTCCAATCATAGTTTCTGGTACTACCTGAAGACTCTTTCAAGGTTACTTTCAAGATATTTTGGTCGTTCAATAGATCGCCAGCTCGTATTTATGATGCCATAGAATACAAGATCAAGTCGATGGTCTTAGATCCGTAAGATAAATATTCATATCCCTAACCATTTACTTAATATGTAATGATTATAGAGCATGTGATTGTCTTCTACATGTCTATATGTCATCGAGCTGAAGTTCCATTCGACAGTAGAGATGCCCTTGGAAACATTCGACAGCAGATGATGTCTCCAGGTACAGAGCAGGCAGAATTATAAAGTTTGTCTTGCTTTGCAAACTATCGAATGAGATTCTTCTTTCATATTCTACTTGCATCAGACCGTACTCTAAGCCGAAGCTCAAAGTCGGATTAAGGAGATGGGAGTGCAGTTTACATCTTGGACTCGATAAGAGTTTATTGGTACGATCTGATTGAATCTTTTTATCATCAGGCGGTATGAACATACGCAATGACATCGTTATGACTGTTCAGTATAATTTTCTATATAGCTCCATTCTCCACACTGATTACGCATACGTTTTTATCTAAAAACTGGCTCATTGAACCTATGAAGCTGATGGTAGAGGCTCTGGAAATTATTCCGTTGTTTGTGTATAATAGTCAGTTTCCAATGAATTGAACGTATAGCTATGTAGACTAGCAATCATCTAACGTATAGTAACTTTCAATTACAAGCGTAGCTTCTATTTTGGACTGGGGACCATCTGAAACACCAATTGACCATTGGTGTTTACAGAAAAAGGCAGTAAAGGAGAGAGAATTCATTTACTTGTGTCTGGTCATACTGCTAAAGTTTACATTTCTTGGAGGAGTTGGATTTCTCGGTGATCAAGATCCGGGAAAGACTTCATGTGAAGGTTTAGGAGGTTTAGGACTGACCCTTGAGAGTTTGCTACAATCCTTCACTCCATGACCGAAGGTCTGTTAACTAACCTTGACTGTCAGATTGACAAGCTATCGAACTGTGAAAGATCTGGATGTGTTCATCTGCATGACTGAATGCTTAGGATAGGAAGACTGATACATGAAAACCTGAAGCACTTGCATTGAGTTATAGCTCCCCGTAGCAGGTATAAATCCTTATAAATCCAGACATCAGGCTATTGACTCTTATCTAGAATTCTTATGAACTGGCTGGCCAACACCAGCCTCTCGAACTTGAAGTTACAAAAGAAGAAATATTTATGAAATCAAACATGGTACAACTCTATATACCAAATTTTGAATGCATGCGAGGCTGGACGATGAAGTGTCCCGGGGAATCAAGTAACATCTCACCGAGGATCACCATTGGGAAGATGTATGTCGGAAAGTGTCGTCTGAATACCCTCCCTCGCATGCTTCACTCAAATTAGTGTTCTGGAATCAAATTAAAGTCAGATCAAGACGTCTCTATGCTGATTCTGGCTCTACTTTCGTACACGGCGGACATTTAACTTTCTAACAAGGTTCTGTTCCGTAAACTACGACACATGAATTACACCTTCATGTGCTGTGACGGAAGGAAATTTTCCACTAAGAAACTCTTGGGGAGGAATATAGTAAAGCTTGTAAGCAATGTCCATGCCCTCATTTGTTTAGCGTTTTCATCGTTGCTTTAGTCTCGGAAGGTGTTTCTCTTCACTGAACAGTAATTGCTCGAATATTGTTGACAGTGGAATCGCAGTTCTCAATGTAACGTGAATCTGATCCAAACCTCTCTACAATCCTCGTGGACATTAGTAAAACTTGAGAACTACTAGAAACTTGTTTCAAGTTGAACAAATTTCGTGCCATTATTGACGTTCAATAAGTCAATAAAACGATGGATTCGGCACTGCAGAAATCTCGAGATAGGGCAGGTCTCTTTGGCGTTCTCTCTGATCCAATTTTGGAAAACAGCATATTCTGTTACTCTTTCTGAGAGAGTAAAGCTGTATCAAACAAATTCAGGTCTATAATCAAGAGCCAAAGAAACTGTTGAAAAAAGAGATTTTGAAAATAGAAATGAAAGAAGTGCACGAGTCGGATTAGGAAGGGAAACCAGAGTAAAAAATTAAAGGATACTGCTGACCAGATCATGGTATGAGGCAAATATCACGTCTGACGAAGCATTGGGTACCCGTTACCTGATAATATTTACAGAATACATCTAGCTATATATGGATAACGAAATTATACGGTAATAGCTATGCATTTGTAATGGATGAGTTCATGAGACCTACTTTTCAGCTGCTCGCCGTACATGGACAACTCTCTAATTCCTCTTACATCGATTCTTGTTCCGTCACTTCCCGGTCCAGAAAGCTCTGGTAGGCTGGGGGTTGCATACCTGCCTGGACCGCAGTATCCACTGATACAGTATATCTACTTTATTGCACAACTCTATTATGAGACTGATGCTTCTCATTGGCCTCTTTTTGTCGTGTATCTTTCTGTGGCCCACAATCGTCACAATTCGGGCTGGAATAGAATTGAAATAAGTTTGACTGACATGCGACTCAACTCTAACTAGCTGCTGGTGGACTTATAATAATTTCAAACTATCTTTATAAATGCACCATGCAGTAAAGATATTGCTCATCTCCAAGGATTGATCGAATCAGGCCACCATATTAGATACGACTTTGTACAATAGAAGTTCTTTGGCTTGAAAGTCAAGTTAAATACGAGCATATATGGATAAACTGAAAGCAAAAGCATAAGTCAATGTTAGTGTGGGACAAAGTGATAGATGGTCATAGTATATGGCATTAATTGGAGCTAGATCTGTAAGAAGCAGGGGCAGAGATGGACATACTGGCAAGGGTCTCAACGTATGCGTGCCTTATAGTCTTCATTCCTAGATTGGGGAGCGCTTCAACATCATCCAGGATTGTTGGCAGATCTAGACTAACAAATTATTTTTAATCTGCTTGCAAAGACCACAAGCTTAGTACAAGGCAATACTTCTGCAATACTTCCGTGTATATGAAAATGAATCTGACATCCTTCGCACCTCAATTTGGGTTTTTGACAAACTCCACGTCGACATGACAGAGTAAAGATATTATGATGCTTGGTACCTCGCTGAGTAATTCAGCATTCATTAAAATGTGATTTGGCTGTCTAGTCCGTGCTTAGTCGCATATTACTCTCAATTGTAAAGTAGTCGAAGTATTAGTAGACATGACAAAGACTCTTGCGAGTGCGGTTGTGATTTTAAGTAATCAAAGAAGGACCAAAGAGCAGGTCTAAGTGGCTAAGATTCTTGATACACTGTCCTCAGTAGCTTTTCAGTCACTAAGGATATACGCTAAAACCTGCAGAATAATTAAGCCTAAATTTGTTTGACAAGTTTTACGAAAGTTTAGAACTTCATGTTGCCACATAGAGATGTATAACCGCAAGCGCTCTATGCAAAAGCAAGTTTGCGATTGTTTAGGTTAACAGAGTTGAGCAGATATCATGCAAGCCGATAAGGGCTTCTGCCAAGTTCCTTCAATATCCACTACAAATCAAAAGTAGTGGCTTCAATTCAAGATTATGGGCGATGTTCACATATTCCACATTGCACTTTATGTTCCTTCAATCGGCACATGGCTAGATATTTTCCTCTGTTCTACGGATTTTCTCTATATATTTCTTGTGCTGAATTCACCTCATGAACGGGATAGAATTATCAAATACATATTTCACGAAAGGAAGTGCTTCCACTACCGGACAGGTTCAATGTTCGATTTATACAGCAGTTCAGGTTAAAGAACATGGTGGGCATGGAACTATCTCAAGATCTATCGTTCTCATGAAAAACGTTGTGCTAAGATTGTGACATACGAGCAAGACATTGATCATATTACACGATGTATAATGCTCTACATCATCATGATTCTTAATGCGACAAATCTGTTGAAAGTGTGCTGTTCGTAAGTTTTGATTGAATTTAATCGCCCTCATCGCGACACAAGCCAGAAACCAACCACTTGACGACTTGTCACAACATACACCCGCCTTCAGAGCATTCTTCTTTCCTCACAAAGTTTCCAGATAATCCGCACAATGCAAAAGCAAAAAATCAATTCTTGAGACTTTAGGCACATGACATCAGGCCTCCACTAGCATCTACAAATACAGCGTCACTAATTGCACGGCGAAGGAAGTGCATGAGAAAATCAAACTCAGCTTACAAGTCCGGTCTGGTCTCGTCTTTCTATACATAATTCTCTTACCAAGAGACTGACTGGTGAACGTCCTGAAACACATGGAGACCCGTAATTACTTCTATCTGCAAACCTCTCTTTTATGAAGAATCTGACCAATGACTCCTCGGATGAAGTCATGCCTCGTAGCACGAACATCGAGGCACCCATAAGCATTCTGATATTTCTGTCTAGTAACATCCCCGGCGCAGCCAGGTAAGAAGTTTAAAAAATTTGCCCCTTCACTAGGTCCACAATCAGCTCTAGCCGTCGATTTCTACGTTTCGGACTTGACATTTCTTCTTGGACTCTTCAATCTTGGGGACCGTGACTGTCAAGACACCGTTCTCCACTTTGGCAGAAATCTCTAGAGCTTTCGCATTGGATGGCAGCCTGAACTGCCGAGAGAATTTGCCAAACGAGCGTTCGGTCCGTCGGTAGTTATGCTTTTCGTCAACTGTCTCCTTGTTGCGCTCGCCGCTTATCCTCAAGATTCCATCGTCCACCACTTGAACTTTGATCTCTTCCTTCCTCATGCCTGCCAGACGCCAAGCGTGGCATCAAATTCAAGCCAGTTCTCAACCAGAATCAGGGCTCTCCCCTCTCCCCTCTCATGAACTTGCACTGCGGGTGAGCTGAGCTCCATGGCCGTAGACCTAAGAATATAGTGATGTGCGTACCTACAATCTCCAAAATCTAGACTGAAATTCTGTAACACAAGATGTAACAAAATTTCGATCTGAGAGGAAATGTTCCATTCAATTGCTGCGTACCAGGAAGATCTGCTTTGAAGACATGGGCCTCGGGAGTCTCCAGCCAATCGACCCGAGTCTTGGCCACTGCGCTCACATCTTCATCGAAAGAGGAAAAGACTCGATCGAAAAGACTCAACGACAGGTTCTCGACAGGGTCGAATACACTGCTCCCGAAGAAAGGGTCGAACAAGCTGGTTCCGAATGCCCGCGGAATCAACGCCATCGTTCGTTCACTCCGAGTCCTATAAACCTCACCGACCTCGATCGAGTGTGCAAGCAAAAACCTCAACTAGATCGAAAAAAACCTTCGATCGAGTGCACTTCGACCGTCTCGATCCAATGCTTCCCTCGCTTCCCTGACTGCCTGACAGCCTGCTCGCTCACAGAAGCTGCTCTGAAGAGTGATCGATGAAACCCCGAAGCAGTGCATGCAATTTATAGCCACCAGCCCTTCAGAGGACAGGACGAACGGACCATCATCTACATGAGTCTAGTATTCTCCTGAACTGTCAGAACACTCCCGACCTTCAGAGGTTCGTGTAGAAGTGACCAGAAAAGGGGCATGACCCACTTTGCTTTGCTTTTTCATGAAGTTCAAATATACAGAGGTTCAAGTCTTGGGGTCTAAAGGAAGAGGACATGGAGGACGATGGCAGTTCAGGACACCACAAAGAGACTTGTGAAATCACGGTATGGTGTGGCATACCGTGATTGATCATACGGGGTAGAATTCTTTAGTCCAGCTCTGAGTCTTCACATGATTTCGCAGCACTACTCACGTTCCTCTCGTGTCATCTGATCCGAACCTCACTCACCATTTGCAGAACTCTATCCTCTGCACTTCCGAAATTTGGTCTGAACGATTTCTTTTTCCTTGGCATCTGATTAGAACTGGTAACTTAGATAATTCGGTTTCAGAGCAGAGATATTCTACTATGCGTTCGAAAGTACGTACATGAGAAATCTGACTGCGGAGACGATCTATTCCGAGTGCACCATAATAAACACCATCGACAGCGTGAACCATGATCCTCAGACTCAGAGAAGGGAATTGGAAGTAGAAGCAGGCCGTACAATCATCTAATATGAACACAGAGGTCACAAGATCCTCAATTCTGTGAAAGGTATATTACAAAATTCATAAATAGCTGAAAAATCCATTATTTCTCAATTTTCCCATTCGTTCAGTCCAATTCCGACATCAAAATGGAGCACGGAGGATGTTCTTCTAGACACGTCGTCGGAAGGACGGTACCGGATTGTCAAGGCACAACAGTACATCGACCAACCAGCCCCGCAGCCTTCCTTCCTTCCTGCGTGAATGAGGTCGACTCGTGATCAATATTATACTAATCTGTGCATCTCGAAGAGTCGAGAGTGTTCGTTCGTCGATGACCCAGAGAAATCTACACAAATTCAGAACCGTTTGGATTAAGTGGGAGCGAAGGAAGAGAGGAAGGAATGGCGAGCCCTGGCATCTTAGGAGAGGTATAAATTTACGCAAGGAGTTCTGCATCTCATCAGTCATCTGTCTTCAGAGTGTTGGTTCATTCATTCCCTTGAGTGATCATCATACAGCGATACAACTGTGCACGTTTCGAAATCGTTTCAAGCCTCGCTCGATATTCTTTTCGTTGAGTTCCGTTGGATTAAGGCGGGAGCGATGGCTTTGATTCCACGGTCATTCGGAAACAGCGTGTTCGACCCTCTCTTCGGGAGCAGCATTTTTGACCCATTCGAGAACCTGACAGTGAGTCTTTTCGACCGAGCGTTCCCCTCTTTCGATAAAGATGTGAGCGCAGTCGCCAACACTCGTGTCGATTGGCTGGAGACTCCAGAGGCTCATATTTTCAAAGCAGATCTTCCTGGTACCCTCTCCCTTCTATGAGCATCTGTCTGAGACATGGCATATTTCCATCTTCTCTGTGATTCATTTGTTGCTCTGCTACTGATAGGTATAGAGGAAACTGCTCTCGCCCCTCGTTAACCTGATTCCCTCGTGCGGTGTCTAACTGGCAGGCATGAAGAAGGAGGAGATCAAAATTCAAGTGGCAGACGATCGGGTCTTGAGCATCAGTGGAGAGCGCAACAAGGAGAAAGTGGACCAGAAAGACAACTTCCGACGATCCGAGCGTTCTTTCGGCAAATTCTATCGGCAGTTCAAGCTGCCGTCAAATGCCAAAACTCAAGAAATTTCCGCCAGAGTGGAGAACGGCGTGCTTACCGTCACAGTCCCTAAGACTGAAGAGTCCAAGAAGAAGTCAGAAGTCCGAACCGTCGAGATCACCGGTTAGGAACGCGGTTGAAGAGTAGAAAGGCTGCTGCGGATGATCGTTTTTTCTCTCTTCACATCTTACGCTAGTGCGATTGGATTGCAAGTGATTGCTTGTGAGCTTAGATGTTCGTGTTATTGAACCATGGTACCACAGCGACAAGTCCATGCTCACATTCTTCAGGGCAGGAAAATACTCATCCAATAGTACATGTAAATCTACAGGCTTTGATCCTCATGAGGTTCATCTCGTTGTAACTTGTAAGTGTTTCCAATCAGTCTTCCAATAAATCATCTCTTTCAAGGATTTTAATGCTCACAAGGGGCGTCCCTCAAGCTCATTACTAAGACGATCATGCATCTGAATATTTACTTGTCCCTGCATTTAGTGCCTCTGCACGTATATCATCTATTCTCGTCAAGATCTGTCGCCCCTAGCTAAACGTGGGAGTCTGGATAGTCAAAAGCACCTGATACTATGTTGAGTAACGGTGGAAAAAAGCTTCCGTTCATACGGTGATGTCTAACCCCTTCGTCCAATTGTAAACATTGCAATAAAACAATGTCTACTTTATGCTTGAAGTGGTTATAATACACCACTTCAACCTTCTGTGTTCTAGTGGTTTCTTTTGCAACATCTATAAAGTTTGTCACGATACCAATGCGTCTCTCATTCAGCGTCAGTGTGGTGTAGCTTGCATTATGCAATGATCTTTACATTTCTCATAAATCACTCTGAACAATGTTTTGTGTATACCAATTTTGTCGAGAGTAGACTTTGATACGTTAGGCGCCACAACTTCGTTCCTCTTATTATGTATGTGCTACTTCCAACTAATCGATAATAACCGTTTGTAGACTATCATACTTCAGCAAGTAAAGTAGTCCCAGATAATAAAAATCAAGAAGAGTCTTCAGGAAATGGGTGAGGAGATATTAAAGCACACATTTTCGTAAAATTAAAAGATATGTTCATAAATTTGTTTATGATATATTTGACATATTTTAAATATTAAAAAATCCTTCAATCTGATAGGTGAAATGCAGAGCCACCTTACAATCTTAAAATTTCAAAATTTAGGTGTCTGCACATTATTTACTAAGTACCCTGCCATTACAACAAAGCAAAATATTTTCAAATCAGCAGATAGTAAAGTTTTGAACAGATGTTAGGAAATTCATATGATGTGCTATGAGCTCAATTATGTGCTCACTGTTTGACTTAGGACTAGATAGGAAGAGTAGAATATATTAGAACCCTCAAAAAGAAAAAAAGAAAATATAATAGATAATGTTATTATGAGGTTAGGTTATGTATGTTAAAACTATTACCGGAGATGTTAACTTACAGTTGGTGCGTGAGAAACCATTAATGGAGTGCCGTCTCCATGAGCGGATATGTGACCACCCATTGACGCTTTATTGTGCTGAGCCTAGAGCTGGATAGCTCGTCCTTAGCAAGGATAAACTCTGACTTTGCCAATGCTGCTGATACGGTTTTCTGCGAGATCTTGACTCCAAACTTTTAGAAGAGCCAGCTAACAAGCTCCTTCTACTTCAATCTTGGTGCACCAAGATTGAAGCACAGGCATTGAAGCATCACGGTGCTTCTCGCAGAGCTCTCTGCGCATTGTCTGGATAAGAACCTCGAACTTCTTTGGCTTCTGCGGTTTTGGTGGCATTGTGCTCTTACAACACAGCTCTAGAATGGCAATCAGATTGACAAAGTGCCTGTGGTTACTCAAATGGTCAAAGCCTGTGTGGGATTGGTTGAGAGTACAACCAGCCTAGCACAAGCTTTTTGACCATTAAGCACAGGTGACGCCTCCTATGCTACTACATAGCTACCTCTCATAGCTTATAACCCCTCTTGGCTTATAACCTGTGAACGTTTCCATTGGTATTTGCTAAAAGGGATTTTACTGTAGATCAAGCCCGTGGGATCCAAAGGATCAAAAGGCTGAAAACACAATACAAACAATCAAACTCTAACCTATGAGAGAACCAAAAGAACCCTCAAGCTAATGTCAAGAGCACTAAAACGGTAACTAATAACATCCCTAATGTAACAACCTAAATCATAAGACTCAAGCTGAAGCAAAGAATAGAATAGAAATTTTCAACAACTTCATGAGCCACTCTAATCTCTATATATCTAGTACAAGTAACAAACACATGATGTTCATGCTCAACTTTTCTTCCATCACATAGCCTACGAATATATTCACTCCTATCAATGTTCAACCAACGTCCTTCTTCAATCCCAAGACTATGAGATCCTATTCCATGCCTAGCAATAATATGTCGTAAAGATGTAGGGATATCCGCAAGTAAGTATACTTATTCACAATAAACAAGCATAGGATTCACATGAAGTTGATAAAATTACATCTTAGTGTCTTGTCTACTCCAAATAATGTTGAGAAATTCCTCCTTGATACGCTCGCAAAGGGCCATAGGTTGAAGATCCTAATCAATTTCGTCACATTCCAAAAAACAAGTCACCACATCTTCAAACCATACCTTGGGACGTGTGGCTGTAATAACCCACCAAAGGCTAAAACTGCAGTATGGTGGTAAAAAGATCGAACCCACAGGGACAGAGGCAACACACAGAGTAAAAGTGTCACGTTTAACAGACTTTTGTAGAGTTTGAATTCTAGGCGACTGTCACTCCCAGAAATACTGCAGTGCTCGACTCGGAGGAGGATCTCGACTCGGAGGATGCTCGGAGGATGCACGGTACAGCGTGGTCACTCAACACACACACACACACACACTTGAAACTGGCAAAAAGCACAACTCGGAGGTCGGTCAGGACCTCCGCTTCGGATTTCAGGAGGAAAGTGTCTCACAAGTTCACTCAGAGGTTCTGCAGGTAGTGCCTCCCACTCCGGCTTTTACTGCCCTTCCGCCAGGAACTAGCGGGGGTACCCGGACTGGACTTCCCACTTCGGAACGAAGCTTCTACATACGCCGTGGACGTCACCCTCGACTATCACACCGAACGCAGGGAGTGCAGACCCAACTGAGAACTTACTGAAAACACGATCCAGTAACACACACACAACCTGAATTACAAACCAAGGTTTACACGAAGTAATGAAACTTCACATTGGCATTCAGGGGAAACTTCCCATAGGAGTACAATTAAGATATGTCACTCGAAGGAGTAAGGGGGAACTGTTCAAGTATCTAACTCGCAGCCGGCTCTGAGCATCAGAAATCACCCGTAGGTGCAGATCCGCACTACTCAAGTCTCTAACCGGGTGCTAGCTCTGAACATTCAGCCGAAGGCCTTCAACTACAACATACGGTAACTTCGCTATGCTGCAGCTTCTCTACGTGGTGCCAGGACCAAAATGCACAAACACGCTAAGAAAGTGAGTTCCTGATCTGCACTTCCGAAACTGGAAGAGTCCCAAGGCAAAACGCCTTGATCTACTTTATACCCTCAAAAGATCCTAACTAGCACTACGCTATCCTATCTACTACTCGCAGCATCTGCGCGAAACCAAACTACTCTACTGCACTCGGCTGATCCGGTGCTGCGCCTCCTGCGCGCCGGACTGCTCCGCTTACTGTCTCTACCTTGCCAGTCTTCCGACCGGCTGCGTAACCCCAGGCGTCGGAGCGCTGTGGTGACTTCCGACTGTAAGTGCGCCATAGTGTCGCGCGCACCCGACAAGAAGGTTTCTAATTTTCTCGCCACTCGCCGCCGACTCCGACTGTCACCCTCCGTCAATGCCGCCGCTCGAAGCTCGAACTCCCTGAGTGTGATACTCTCTTGAGCTGCCACCTCCCAATGGGCGTATCCTTTTAGACAACGAGTCACCTGTGTCGCCAACTCTCCTCGCGCCCTGCAGCTGCTCTCCACCTCTGCCAGCTGCATTTCTGCTTCCGCACGTTGTGCCCTCAAATCCGAGCACTCGGATTGCAAGTTGCGCAACAACTCCTCATACTCCTTGCGGGCTCTTTGACTTTCTTCTAAGGCGCGCGTCTGGCGCGTAAGCTCGGCTGCTAGGACTTTGTTTTGTCTCTGCTCCTCCTGCAATTCCGACTCGATCTTTGCCCGTATTAGCTCGGCATCCGCCTGACTTTTCGTCGCCGCATCCTCCCTCTGCTGCTGCAAGGCTTGGTATAGCTTCTGTGTGACCGCCAGGTGTTGTCGGAGGGCAGTGTTCCTATCCACATATACTCCGCACCTAGAGGCCCACTTTGCCACCTTGCTCCTCGTCCTTCGCCTGATAGTCTGCACATAAGACTGCGGTTTTAAAGCACTTGCGTATTTGGATGTCTTGCGATCCAGATATCGCAGGAGTGGAACTATCTGTTCGCACAGCACCCCTGTTGGCGTTTTCTGTACCGAATCCGCTTCCTGTTCTTCCGAGCTCGTCTCATCCTCAGTCTCGAGGATTTCAGTCGCCACCGAATCCCTTGGCGACTCCCTGGAACTGTGGCGCGCAGCAGCTTCCGCTGCGACTGCTGCTCCACTGCCTGCTAAAATATCCAGGGCAGTGGGAGATCCCACTGCTTGAGCCCCTGTTCCGGCTCGATCTTCGGTTTCTGAAGGGGTCGACGCCGCAGTGACTCTTGTCACTCTTGCACCGCCCGCTTCTGCTGCCTGTCCTTCCGGCGCAATCTGCGCGGAAGGTGTCCTCGCTGAAGGTGCGTCCGCCGAAGGCGTCCGCACACTGGTCGTTGGCCCCATCCGTCTCGCAGTCGGCGAATCCGGCCGACTCTCTGTTGTCCGACTCGCAGTCGGCCGACCAGCAGTTGTCCGACTGGGAGTCGGATACACCCTGCGCGTCTTGACTCCACTTGGCCTGCTTGCTGGTGGCGTTTTCCCAGAAGTGCCTTCCGCCGAAGACGACCCTCTGAGGATTGTTGGCTCGTCAGCCAAACTCTCTTCTACTTCCGGCCTGCTGTCCGGTTCAACGCGCCGTTCAGTTGGCCTTCCTTCCGCTTGTTGGCCTTCAGTCATCCGACTCGCAGTCGGCCGACTGTCAGTCCGTCCATCTCCTCCCGAAGGCCGTGGTGCCTTCTGTGCAGAGGTATCTGCCGTCTTCCCTAGAATCTGAGCGATTATCTCCTCCTGCGTGAGATTCCGCCGGGTCGGAGTTCGCCCGGTCTCCTCAGTACCAGTTGGCATTTTGCGTGCCCTCTGTTTTGGTCGACTGTGAGGCTCGGGGGTGGGCCGACCACGAGTCGGCGCAGCTGGCAGTTCCGGCTGCATGTCCTCAGGTCTCTCATCCCACTTCCGCTTTCGCGGAATGCGCTCACTTCGACGTTCTTCTGCTGCTCTTGCTGGAGCCGGAGCCGGAGGCGTACTAGCAGGTTCCTCGTCCAGATCCGTGTCTACTTCGGCCTCCCTCGAATATCTACCTGGATAGTTCCGGGTCAGCTGCGGAAACCGTGTTTTCTCAACATTTGTCAAACATCCCATCGCCCGATAAAACACGATCAAGTAAGG